TATACAGCGTTAATATAATGATATCTTTGTAACTGAAACATAATAGAAATTGAATTTTTTCATTTTCATAAACAAACTATAAATAATCATGCAAATAACGATAAAAAACAACATTAAATGTCTAGGAATTAAAAATTTAATTATTAAAATTAAATAAAATATTTTATGAAAGCTATGCATTTTTAAACATAGCCACTATGCATTCAGATAAATGCATTTGTTAAAATTGTTAACATGCAAAACAAATTAAAATATACATAGAAACCCAAATATAATACAAACCAATTATTTTTTCAATGTTCTTATTTTTCAATGTTCTTGCATTCTAAGTATTCCTGATTAATTTAGAATTGATAGAAAAAAGGTTATTGTCACTATTCATATTATTTTTACATTTAAATATACCTTGTCAACTAAAATTATTAGTAATTGTTAAGAAAAAAAGACAATGTCATTGTACAAATCAGGAGCAAGAAGTAAACAATAACAGTTGAATTAAGATATAGAAAATTGCATCATGGGAGGTAAAAATGCTTATTTTCCACATAATACTTTCTTTTTAATTTAATATATTCTAATTTGTTTATTTCTCCATATATTCATAAATGAAAACATTCAAAACAAAAAAAGAAAAGAAATTTCACTCCAACATAATCTCATCTGCTGAGACAAGCAGCAGTTATCACAGCAGCAGCCATTGCATACACAACACATTTGCTAGGACTGCTGCTTTCTTTCCCCCCACAACTAATGAAAGCATAATCACCTTAAACGGTATCATCACATAACAGTTGAAAAGGAAATTTTGAGAAAAATCTAACAATAAAGGTAAGATTTGATTTTACTTATTTCTATGTTTCCTGTTTTCTGGAAATTTTTCATATGAAAAATGTAATTTTAAAATGGCAGTATTTTGATTTGCATGTAATCAGCATTGGTTAAATACAGATAACAGGGAATTTATAACAATGAAAATGAATTTGACACTACTCCTTTATGGAATTATTTCTACACATGTATTTCTGTCTTTCCCAAAAGAATATTTGATCATTTTAGTTTCATTATTTTTTCTCTACTACAACTACTATTGCATATTTTTCAAGTTCAATAGGAGACAATCTGTATATAAATCTTTCCTTAAATTTAAATTAGGATCACACATTTTATTTCAATTTTTTAAATTAGTGATTCAACTTGCAACATATGAAATATTTTTTATAAGTATTTAGAATTTGGTATTTGTATTAATGTTATATTAAATTATTTTATCTAAATGAGTACTTTTCACTGACAATTGAGAACTGTTTTTAATTTTTTTATAAATATGATTACAGTAAATATAGTTTGCTCAGAAGAATGTTAGTGATCACAAAATACTTTGCTGTCATCTTGGCAAACATGGCTGCTACATTCTAAAAGAATCCCAAGTAATCTACACAAAATCTAATGTTTTATATTCTTTTACGATTGATTGTAAAAAAAAATCATAAGAATTATACACTAAACTTCTGTACTATAAAGTCACTTTTCATTTACAACTCCTAGTTGTTGATACAGACTTTAAAATAATATGCCATTAATTTTATAGATATTTTATTTTGTATAAACAATGTGTATGATAACATTTTAAGTTTTCACATTTATTCTTGCAATTTTTTACAGTATGAACTGAACCAGATTGTCATCACTTTTATTAATCCAGTGTTTATCTTTGCAAAGGTTTAATGTTTTAAAATTTCTACAAATAGAAATACAAATTAATTACACAAGATCGAGTAAAACTAAAAGTAAGTTACACAATGTCTAACCTCAAAATAGTTCTTTTTGTGCAAATTTCTGAGTTGAAACACTGTTACTTTGCAAAAAATTGTTTAAGATCAGCATTTTTATATTTATTTTTATCACAGAATTTATTTGGCATGCTCTCTTGCCTTTTTCATAGATAAAACTGCATCAAGTAAACTTTTGGAAATTTTGAGTGGAGCAATTTCATTTGCATCCAGGTGCATGTGTTGTTATTCTCCCTTCTGTTATGTTACATCCTTCTCAAGTATTACAGTCCTTTCTTTATGTTGTCACATTGCACTTTCAGTGGATTCCCACAATGCCTAACTAAGCCTGGGAGTAAAATGACATAGTTTTAGAATCAGTATATTTATCCACCAGACTATTGTCCCATAAGCAGAATACTAGATATGATAAAAGGCAAACATTGTGACAACATGATAGCTCGCTAGATGAAATAAGATTCTCTGAAGGTTACAAAATACATCTGAAGAAGACAAGAAGGTTGACCAGATTAACTTTACTACTAGAAAAACAACACAAAGATGAAAGCCTAAAATAAATAAAGTATTTGTTATTGAAAACCGAATTTTATTATGAAATTGATTTATTGAAGAGAACTATATTTTTAAATATTTCTTACAGTTACCAATTACTTTCAGTATCCCCAAGCCAAAAAGAAAAAAAAAATCTTGATATAGTAGTATATTTCTGAAAATATCAGATTCATGTCTTTATTGTGAGAATAAGTCAGGTAGAATTAAATATCTTTCTGTATGAAAATGATACAGGGTTTTATTAAAAAAAAATTTAAATCTTGTGAAAATAGATTCAGACAAGAATGGATCATAGTTTAATAATAATCCTTATCATCAAATTTCAAAACAATTTAAGTAGTTGATATCTGAAGAAAATTAAACACTCTTTCTATTATTATATTTTAAATAAATGTAATGAATTTAACTCCATAATAAAATAGTGTTTGTTTCTGCATTTCAGGCAGAAAACAGATTTATAAAAATCACATTCCCAACAGGAAACATGTTGACAGCAATATGCATCTTTACCAGTATGTTATATTTTTCTTACTGCATTGATCTGACATTTAAAGTCAAAGAAGGGAAAAGTCCTGGAACTTACCTTGGAGACATTGCTGCTGATTCTAATGTTATGGATGATGTATCAATCCAAGATCAAAATCTAATCACATTTAGTCTTATGGAACAGGATGGTACAAGTAGTTCCCCATTGTTCCGTATTTCTAAAAATACAGGAAAACTCTACACAGCACAAACACTGGATGCTGAATCTCTGTGTACATTCAACAAGGAATGTTTTTAATGGTCGATGTTGCAGTGCAAAAGGAAATTACAATAAGCAGAATATTGGAAATCAAAGTTATAATAGAGGATGTGAATGACCATCAGCCTGAATTTCCTGATAAACAGGTTACAGTTGAGTTTGGAGAAAATGACAAGAAGGGAACAAAAGTATTAATTCCCAATGCCATAGACAAAGATGTTGGAGTTATAAATTCTAAAATTACATACCAACTGAAAAAAGGCAACAAGGAACCATTTGCACTGTTTGTCATCAAAAAAGTTGATGGAACATCAGATTTGAGTATAGTTTTAGAGAATGAACTTGATCGAGAAGTGAAAGCTGCCTATGAAATTGAATTAATTGCAAGAGATGGAGGGTCACCACCTAAACAAAGTGTTTTAGTTGTTCACATCTTAGTGACAGACATCAATGATAATATTCCAGTTTTCTCCCAAAATGTCTACAACGTTTCTATTAAGAATAATCCAAGTGAAACTTCTTCCATTGCAACTTTATCAGCCACAGATTTAGATTCTGGCAAAAATGGAAGAATCACTTATCACTTCAGTACAAAAACAACTGATGTTGCTAAAAACCACTTCAAACTGAATGAACAAACTGGACAGATTTTCTTAGAGAAAAAGTTTACATTAGGCAATGTTCTGACACATAATTTATATGTTGAAGCAAAAGATGCAGGAAATCCACCATTACAATCTCTTGCAATGGTTTTGGTTAATGTAATCAACCAACAAAATAATCCACCAACAATTCACTTGAAATTTTTGTCAGCATCAGGAAAAGATTCAACATCAGTTTCTGAAGGAATCAAAGTTGGCAGTTCAATTGCTTATGTAAAAGTGACTGATCATGATGTTGGACAAAATGGTGAAGTGAGTTGCGATCTCCATTATGATAAATTTAAACTACAAAGTTTGGATACAAAGAAATATCAAGTAATTGTGAAAAAAGCATTAGATAGAGAAACAGAGGCAAAGCATGAAATTATCATCAGCTGTCAAGATAAAGGATCTCCTCCATTGCAAAGTAAGAATAAGTTCTCTATCCAAGTGACCGATGTCAATGATGTAAGACCACAGTTTTCTGTGGAGACATTTAAATTCTTCATTGAAGAGAATCAGAAATCCAGATTTTCTGTTGGCTTCATCAATGCAACAGATCCAGACTTGGGACTTGAGGTAAACTCACTTATTCTCTGCTAACCAATAATAAACAATTTTTACCTTTCAAAGTCAAAGATGATGGCATGATTTCAGCAATTATGTCACTGGATCATGAGTTTCAAAACATTTATAAGTTTCAAGTATTTGTGAAAGATAATGGAATACCATCTCTGAATAATACAGTGAATGTGATTGTTGAAGTGACTGATAAAAATGATAATGCTCCATATTTTACATTTCCCAGTGTTAATCCTTATAACATGGATATTGTATATTTCGGCATCATTCAAAGAATATCACGTCTCTAAAGGCAGCTGATGGAGATAGTCAGAGAATGCATTTCTAAAATATGAAATAATCAGAGGCAATGACAAGCAGATATTCAGCATGAACCAGTATACTGGTTTGTTAAGTTTCAATCGAGTGCTTAGCCAACAAGATGCTGGCTCATATGAGCTAGTATTTGTTGTGAAGGATAGTGGTAGCCCAGTTCTATCAGCAACAACTAGTATGTTTTTACACTAACTGTAAGCAACAAGACAGAAATGCTAAGTGCCATTCATACGATAACTGAAGATAAAGTTGATCTTACATCAGTGATTATTATTACAGTTGTAGCAGTGATTGGTAGCAGTAATCATTACTGCTTCTATATCAGTATGTATCATTCGATGTAATGACCAGAGAAATGTAACCTATGCCCATGCAATGAACCCACCAAATGTGGTTGGTGCAAATGTTGGTCCAAGTGGCAGGTACATGAGTGACCAGAGACATTTAATATGCCCTTCAAAGCAAGGAATATCTTGGCCAACTGCTGTGAGCAAAACACATGCTGATAAAATAAGAAGTGCTCATATAAATCAACCAAGCAGACAATCCCATTCTGCAGATATTCTTCCTGTTCAGCAGAAAAGATCAGCTTCTTTGCCTCAAACACAGTCTCCTTCCAAACTACAATCACAGGTAACTGTTTGTTTTTACTCTATTTGGCAGTGAACATAAATCTGTACTGGAACTTGTAACATTTCTATAAGTAATTGAAATTAAGATAATACCCTTTTTATATGAAATCATCGTTTTTGATACTATGCTTATTACCATTCTCTATCCAAGCTTTTATTTTTAGTTATTATTTTTCTCTAATATTATTGTATTAAAAATATCTTCACTTCAGGTTGGTCTAATTGTCCTTTTTTTTATTGTATGTCTAGTAAATATTTTCTAATTGTAAATGTATTTTTCCCATGCTCATATTTTTTGAATGCCTGAAACACTCAAATATTATCTTCTACATTTTTATACTGCTGACATCATCCTACATTTTAAAATTCTAATTGCAATGTCTTTCATTGAAAATATTTAAAATTATTATTCATTTTATTATTCTATTATCGCTTTACTAAAATGTTATGGAAATAATATCACTTACTTTTTTTACTAATTTTCTTTTCTTCATATTTGTGTTGATTTTTTACTTCAACACTCAAGTTGTTTTTCATTGTCATCTGTTAAGCAAACAGTAAAGATTGGATATAAGAAACTAGCTTCTGACAAAACTTGTACTCACATCCTCTTTCCTTGAAAGCTTGACATTGATAATACCTTATCAATTAGACTAGAAAAAGCCAACCAGCAGATATGATTCATGTTTCAATCAGATATCTACTTTCTTCCTCATTGAATTCTTTTCTGTACCATATTGTTTGTTTAAGCCTTGTAGTTTTTTGATTTCAGATGTCATCAGAACTTAAGTCTTTATTTCTGATCCTTGCTGCATAGTCATAGAATGTAAAATGACAACCATTATGACATGTAAAGAAAGATTAAGCACATTTCTTTTTAGTTTGATTTCATGTTTTATTAGTATCTGAATATTAATTGAAAATTACATTTAGGTTACAAAATAACAATAATCAGATATATAATAAATCAATGAAAATTATGAAAGTCATAAATTTGTGATTTCTGTTGATTTTCCATTTTAATTAGCAGAATCAAATCCAGGAAGAGCCAATGTCACGTGGAAGTGTTAAAAATAAATCCCATGAAATTACTTCTGAATATCACAATCAGCAATCTCCTAAAATGATACATCGGGAAAGCAGGGATAATAGAGATTCAGGAAGCAAAACACAAGTGGAAGAAGCAACAGGTTGGTAACATACTATAAAAATTAAAACAATGTAAAGTACTTTTTTTTATTTCTTTACAAAATTAAACTTCTCTTTTCTACTGGCATTACACATTATATATATGATTTGCTGGTGGTCAGTGCTTTATTCTCTTGTAATCAATTTCCTAATTTATACATCATATACAGATGGAGTAAAGTTCCACTGTTCATAGTATTTAATTTTAAAAAAGTGCTCAATACAAAGTAGAGCAATATATTATTATTTTTATTATAAGAGATTAGAACAAAAACGTTGAAATTGCTACACAATAGCTTTCATGTTTCGGCACTATATTGTGGCTTTTGAGGTTATGGTAAATGACTGGTAATTAAATGATTTTCATGAAAATTTCAAAAGCAAAGTTTACCTCTTTTTTCAAAAGATAAAGGTGGGGTGAGGAAAAACATGGTCAGAATTAAAAAAAAGACTTGTGGGTTTGCCTTGATGAACCAATCAAGTATCCGATCCATGCTAAATAGAAAATTAAGCTCAGTGGGTGGAGGTGGGGGGAGTTATTTTTTCATGACATGATAAACCAGAAGTTAGACAGGTCATCATTGACATTAACAGAAAACATGCAAGCAACAAATGTATCATGATTTTAGACAAATATGACATGTTCAATTTTTCAAAGAACACTAAGGGGAGGCATAGGAGGATAATCAGGCATGAAGTTAATTTCAACAGAGAATTTTTTTTTTAAATTTCAGATTCATGAAGCTTCTTAAAGGAACCTGTAGATAAAATGAAAAATCTGGAACATCTATATAAGATTAACTGCACAGCAATACTAAATCAGAATAAACAAAATAAGATAATTACTCATAGTGGGTGGGCCATTATTTACTTATAAATTATGGCCTTAAGAAATGTTACTACATAATTTTTAAAATTTAACTATATTGTTAGGTAAAAGATAAAATGTTTCAGCAATTTACAGTTAATTCACTTCTTTGATTTAATAGAGATTTTTTTGTCAGCAAATCAGATAATTTCTAGTTTCACATGTAAGCATAAGAAGCAAGGTTCATTTAAAGATGTACAGTTTCTAGTTTTTTTAGTATTTTCCATTTTACCATAGGGGTATTGTTAACTTATTTAAGTTCCAAAAATATTTAGAAAGGAACGTTATATAAGTGCTGTTAGTGAAAGATAATAAAAATATTTAGAAAGGGACGTTATATAAGTGCTGTTAGTGAAAGATAATATATGTTAATACCACCTAGTTTTAAAAGAATTCTTGGTACTCTTAATATAAAATTTTTTAACAGTTATTTTTTTTTAAAAATAGTGCTTAGGGAAACAAGAGAGTCAGTTTGACATTGGTTTTGCAATGAGCATTCATTAGAATTTCTACAATTACACTTGTTGATATTATCAGCATTTGTTCCTTTGAAATGGCTATTATTACTCAGGTTTTTGTATTTGTTTAAAATTTTATTATGTTTTTTAATAATTTTTTCAAGATTATCGGTACAACTATAACTTAGTATTAGTGTATTTCTGTAGAAGTGTTTATCGATTCCAATTCCTACGATCACTGTTGTTATGTTTTATATATTTGATGTCAGTGTACCTATAGCCACTATTTTTTAAGGCAGTGTTATAGACTTTACTATGCTTGTAAAAGACATCTTTTCTGGAAGAGTTATTGCTAATAGTATATTTTATAGAAGAGGGTATGTGTTTAATTACAGATGGAGGGTAGTTACAATTTGGGTGGATGTATATTGGATTGGCATTTGTTTTCATGTAGGATTAGAATACATTATTAACTAGGTCTAATGTAACATCAAGAAAATCTTTTTTTTAAAGTTAGTGTTGATCTTAGCTTTAAGGTTAAGACATTTAAATTTTCTATGTATTAATTTCCTGATTTTGTCAGCTTTAATTTTTTGTGAAATTTTTCACTAACGTAAGGCCATCTATATAACCGTATATTATCAATGTTAACATCATTGTAGGCACTAAGATTATATAAGCTAAATAAACCAACAAGTTTCAGAAGATTCTGCAGAATTTAATGATCCCATGGAAATATCAAATTGATCAACAGCATTGTTGTGAATTAAATATATATATATATATATATATATATATATATATATATGTGTGTAAGATTATAGTTGTTCCAACAAGAGAAAAGTGTATATTTTAAAGAGAGGAAAAGCCAAAAATGTTTTTGGTTATAGGGTGGATTTGTTTTTATATACTTTATTCTGTATATTTTGCTACACACGTTTTGGGTCTTGTGACCTTCATCAGGTGATGAATGGTTATTTACACATATTATTTAAAGAAATTCATTTATTCTACTTATGTTAAGTCTTTTAACCATTCTTTTGTGTGTAGTGGTAGTCATCTATCTTAGACTGGCTGAAAAATATTCCTTTGTTTGAAGTGGTAATAAAACAATTAAATTTGGTTAGGGTAAGAAAGGAGGTTTTTGTTCTTATCTTTTTATGTCCCATGTATCCCTTCATTCCTTCCTCTATTCTTGTGTATTGTATGTATATATATATATATATATACACTTTCTCCAAAAATATATATTTTATTATTACAAGGAAATTGTGTATATATATATATATATATACTCTTTGCATGGTGCATATGGTTTATGTGTATGTGGTCCATCTAGTGTGTTTGTGTTTGCCAGTATGCATGTATATATTCATTCTCCATACATATATATTATATATTTTATTATTATAAGGAAACCTATATAGTAACTACATGCATTTTGTATAGTGATTTTTGTGGTCCAACTAGCCTGTTTTGTCACTATATGTTTATGGTATGTGTGTTTATGTCTGTGGGGTTATGATTTGTTTAGTGCTGGTTTAATTTTATTGTGTTTGGAGTTAAGAGTAATCCTCTGTTTGATATATTTCCTCAAAATACAAAATGGATTCAGATGACTACTACTACTACTACTACACACAAAAGACAATGTTTAAAAATTTAACTGAGGAAGAAAAAATTAATTCCTTTAAATAATATGGAGAAATAACTATTCTTTGCCTGATGAAGGTCACCAGACCCAAAATGTGTGTAGCAAAATACATAGAATAAAGCATATTAAAATATCCACAGTATAATAAAAAATGTTTATGGTTTTTTCTCTCTTTAAGATATATATATATATATATATATATATATATATATATATATATATATATATATATATAAGGTCATCCCATAAGTTCTGTCTGAATTTTACCTTTTTTAAAATGAATGAAATTTAAAAGAGTATTTTATAATGTCTAATGGAGCTGAACATTACGTTTAGATGCATTTAAACTGATCAAATTTTATTTGATTAAAACCCTGCTAACATGGAAGTATCCAAGAATCATTTGAGGCACATAATGCTTTATGAGTTCAAGAAAGGAAACTCAGCAGCCAAAGTGGCTAGAAACATTCACTCAGTTTATGGAGAGGAATGTGTGAATGAAAGAACTTGCAGAAGATGGTTTGCAAAATTTAGAGGTGGAGATTTCACCCTTGAAGATGAAGATCGAACCGGACGTTCAGTTGAGTTTGATGAAAAGCTTCTTGAAGCAGCCCTTGAAGAAAATCCTGCTTTATCAGTTGAGGAATTGGCAGTGGCTCTCAGTTCAAACCATACAACTGTCCATCATCATCTTCAACAACTTGGAAAAGTTCCTAAACTTGGGAAATGGGTGCCTCATGAATTGTCTGAAAACAACCTCAAATCCCGAGTTGACATCTGCTCTTCACTTCATTTTCGCTAACTTGTTTCACCTTATTTGGATAGACTTGTGACGAAAAATGGATCTTTTATCAAAATGTTAAGCATTGTAGACAGTGGCTTGGTAAAAGGGAAGGACCCAAGCCACAGCCGAGAAGGGAACTTCATGGGCAAAAGGTTCTTCTTTCAATCTGATGGGATCGCCAAGGAATAATCCACTTTGAATTCTTACCACCTAATGCAACAATTAATGCTCAAATATACTGTCAGCAATTAGAGCATTTGAACCAAGCTTTGAGAAAAAAAAGACCTGCTCTAGTGAATCAGAAAGGGGTGATGTTTCATCAGGACAATGCGTGACCCCACACAGCAAGAATCACATCACAAAAGATTGAAGAACTTGGTTGGGAGAAAATTCCTCATCCACCTTATTCTCCCAATCTTGCTCCTTCAGACTACCATTTGTTTCGTAGCTTACAGAATCATTTGGAAGAAACAGCTTTTGTAACACAGGAAGAGGTTAAAACTGACATTAGTTCTTCGAATCAAAGCCAAAAGAATTTTGCAGGAATGGAATTAGTAAGCTTGTTAATAGATGGAAGGAAGTCATAGATAATCAGGGAAAATACATTGTTGATTGAATGTATAATTAAATGTAACATTTGGTCACTTGTTTTCTTTATTCAAAATTCAGACAGAACTTATGGGATGACCTGATATATATATATAGGCAGACAATGTTTGCAATTTATTCAATCAGACATATATATATATATATATATATATATATATACATATTTTTTCAAGTGTGGAATCTTCAGTAATTGAACAGAAATGACATTTCATTAACACATTCAGTTATTTTATGTTAGTTTAACTTATTCAAATTATATCCAAATAATTCATATTGCTATTCTAAAAACTCAAAGCAGCAAGAAGAAACACTTCCAGACCAGAAGAAAAAAATATTTTTGATTTAGAATTGTAAATATTTAAAAATATTTTATTTCGGGATATCTCTCTCTCTCTCTCTCTCTCTCTCTATATATATATATATATATATATATATATATATATATATATATAAACTTGTTTTGGCCCAACAAATTTTTAACACTCTTTACCAACAAGTAGAGAGTTATGTCCCTTGCTAGTTGAAATATTGAACAAAGAACATTAATTCATAACAAAACATTTTCAAATGACCATGTTTAACTAAGAATTTACTAAATTCAGATGATGATTTCATTTGAAAAAAAAAACAAAAGAAATGAATTATACCTTACATTAGATTATGTCAAATCTCTGTAATCATTATTCAAATGTTCATGTTTACAGCTGTATAAAACAATATACGTTTAAATCAACACAGAAATAACAGTCATTCAGTTTTGATGAGAGTAAAAAATCTCACACTTTTTTAATATAAAATACACGTTTTATATTTACAATGTATAAAATAATACAATATTCATACATTTTGTAAATTTCTTATGAAAATGAAATCCTTTAGATTTCAATCTATGATAATGAAATTAAAAGAAAAAAAAATAATTAAGTTTGTTGATTCACTTTATCATATGATGCATTTAAAAGCAAACTAACATACAACTTTGTTTCTAACTTCTGACATTTTTAAAACTTTAATAAGTTGCCACTGACTACTTTTTTCAGATGTATACACTTCCCAATACTGCAATCCTCGATTAAAACAAAGTGAGCAGCCAACACAAGAAACAGAGATGAAGCCATTGGGACAGACTGTCAACTACCCAAGTGATACAACAATAGTAGCTAGGGGTTTCTATACACCAAGCCTTACACAAAATACTGATAACAAAGACTCTGTGACAGAGGATAGTAATTCTTCTGATATAAGTCAGCAGTCAACAGGAAACATTTATCGTAATCCAAGACCCTTACCCCCAGTTCCTCACTAATATTTTTTTCCAAATTCCATTAATCTTCCACTTAGTCAATAAGTTAATTCTAATTTTTAAAGTGCTTCTGTAGGATAATATATCCTTATAATACCCTAAATAAATTATAAAGAATATGGTATTGTTCTTTCTTAATACATATTTCAGAGGATGAATTAGTCAGACAAGTAATCAGAGTGTGTATTTTCCAGTATATATATTATATTATTATTCTTAATGTGTTAAGAACATAAAATATATTAAAAATATTTGAATACTGGACATTTTATTTTATATAATAATCAAAATAATGTTTTGCATCCCAAGTTTTTTAAATGAAAGTCAAAGTAAAAACACCCTTAAAGTGGATCATGAAAATGCTCATTAACATTTACGACCATAAAACTAATGTTGTTTTCAAAAAGTATTTTTTTGACATTTTGCTTTGCATTAAAATTTTGTTATAAATAAAATTGTCTTACTTGCTCTGCAACATGTAAAGCATCCATTGTACATAATAATCCCAAAGTGTCCAGCATTGTTTAATATGAAGAGAAAGACAGCAGAATTTATAAATAAAGAAAATAGAGAATTGCATTTTGGGAATTTTTTTTTTTTTTTAAAACTTAGTTATTTTTTGAAAACTTCTAAATTTATGTGTGTACGTCTGTATTTCTGTATGTATGCAAATATTTAAATAGAAAAACTAAGAAAGTATATAAAAATAAAAATCAAGTGGGATGTGGTGTCTTTAAGAATAATAATAACAATTATAACAGCCATTGCACATACAACACATTCACTAGGATAGATGCTTTTGTCTCATACCCTTAAAAAAATGCAAAGATTATTGCACTCACATTTTCATGAATAATAATAGTTAATCTTCTATTTGGGCCTTAACTTTAGAATATCCAAAGAAAATGGTAAGTAGATTTAATTTTGTTTTTTTGTGCATTAACAAAAATAATGTCCAGGGAATAAATTTTTCCTTATTGGTCAGTTTACTTATGCAAATCTTTGTGTAATTTGTTTGTGTACATCTTAAAACTTTAGCTGCTCTTTTAAGTAACAATTAATCCTTTTATATACAAATGGAATATTCTTTTATTGTTATGACTATCACTAATAAAATATTTATCTTTAATGTTCTAAACAAATTATTAATTTTCTCTATAAGAATGATAAACATGCTAATTTCTGTAGCAAATATAATGATTATTTCCTTCTTTTCATTTTGTGATGATAGATTTTGATGAGGTTTAATGTTGCTGAAATACTAAAATTATATAAATCTCATTTTATTTATGAAAACAACTCTTCAAAATTGTAATATTCATGAGCCACTTAGAAGAAATTTCTTCTGAGTTTTCATTTTTGTTATATTGTTATTGCTTAATGAATAATAAATTGAAAAAAAAAAATGGGGCAAAAATTAATTTTCTGCTTCGTTACATTTCTAGACATACACAATAGTTAAAGTATTAATTCACTACTCATATTTAAATTACTAGTCAGATGTAAACATCTGAAATAAATTTCTTAATAATGTGTAAATCAACAGGCCAATTTGCATTTATAAAGATTTTAACAAAAACATTAATTGAAATCAATCCTCAAGTACTGACAAGGTTAAATAGATGCAAAATTCACAATAATATAATAGTTAAAAAAAAATGAATTAATATTTATTGCATGAATATTATTATTTTATTACATAAATTTTTTAATTATTTTTCTGTTTTGATCATTTTTTGATAGGAGGTAAAGAAAAACAATCATTTTTTTTTAATTTCAGACCAATATGAACATCGAAGGAAGATGAAAGTGGAATATTTGAGTGTTATTCAGTATTGTGCATCACTGTCTGTTTATAGACATTGTTTCCTATGTTGAAGAAGGGGAAAATCCAAAGACATATTTAGGAGACTGTGTTGCAAATGGTCTGATAATTATAAGTCTTTATAATGCAACAAGGAATTTCTATCACTTCTACACACACAAAAATTATACTACACAAATGTTAGACATCAAATCTATTTGCACATTCAATAAATTAGCAAAAATATTCAATCAGAGGGATCATAAAAAATGTTATTGAACATCAACCAAAAATTCCTGATAAACAAATCATTATTGTCTTTTCTGAGAGATGGAAAAAAATCTATTCCAAAAAATGCATTCCAGAGGTTTATTCTAAAATGACATAAAAATGCAACAGAAAGACTAAGCATTTATATTGTATATCTTAAAAAATGATTGATGAAACATCAGCTCTAAGAATTGTGTTAAAAGATTGACAAAGAAACTAAGGACTCAAATTTAATCCAAGTTATTATCAAAGATAGAAAATTTGTTGTGTGCCCATCAAATCAGGATATATCTGGATCAACTGCTGTCATCATAAGCAAAAGTCATGCAAACAAAATAAGCATACATATAAGCCAATTCAATAGAGATTTACATTTTATAATTACATTTTCCAGTCAACAGAAACTATTATTTTCTCTATGACAGACACAAACTTAGATAAAAGCTGGATGTAAAATATGAAAAATATCTTGAGTTATTAATCTTTTTAAAGTAGAGACAATAAAAAGTTTACCAATCCAACAGCAAAACTCATTTTGTAAATAAGCTTCTCAGTCAACAGAAAAGATGTTTATATTTCTCAGCTGCAAATAAGAAGTCTTACTAAAGCATTAATGGTAAGTATTTTGACTGCATTCATAATATATAGCATTATAGGTTCATCTTAATTTATTTGAATATTTTATAGTTTATTTAAAATTATATTTTTTAAAATCTGAAACTATCATATCTGATAGCTTGTAAGGCTCTCATAATTTTTAAGAAATATACAAAACAGACATGTGTTTAAGACTTGGACCAGATATAGATGGATGAAATTTCAGTAACATTTAAAATACTATCCAATAAATTTTTGCTGACATGGGATGGTATCTTGTTTATATCTATCCACATACCCACTGAAATGAAATGTGGCATAAGGCCAAATTTAAAGTGAGAATCTCATGTGTATATGACATGAATGATAAAAATTGCTCAAACCTTTTTGGCATTTACCCCTTTGGGGATGCCTCAGGTGTCAGGGATTGACCCTAGCGCCTGCTGAAGAAAAGGTATTGCCTTGGGAGCCCCATTTGGGCTTAAGCACATGATATCACATTTTAAGCCAAGTAAGATGGTAGTTCTCATAGGTTTATGTTCTGGGAAAGATATTTAAAATTCTTACTTTTAATATTTTCAAAACTTAGGAGTAATTTATAATTGAAAATAAGTTTATATATATATATCAGATATGTGGTGCAATTCAATTACTTGTGTATTTAAGACCTAATACAGATTAAAAGTACTTGCGTATTTAAGGAAGACCTAATACAGTTTAAAAAAAACAAGGATCATAACATTAATTAAGTGATTAATAGGTTAATGCATCTTTAAAATTTAGTTAGTAAAGGGATTTTGCCATTTTATATCATTAACTTCACTAATTTACTTTCTGTATGAATGATTCATTGTTATATTATATATATATATATATATATATATATATATAATACAAAATGGTAATCCATATGGAATTTCCAAGAGGATATAGATCCAGGGAGAGCTCTATGTCAAGAGACAGAGCAAAATTATAAATTAATGAATATCAAACACTTAAAATATATATATATATATATAGAAGGGGTATGATATTGTAAGGCCTGAAACACTTAATGATCCTTGGCTAAAACATTACTGATCATGTGTGCCAGAGATTTGCTCATTTGAAAGTTAATTATAATCAGTCTTTTTTAAGTAAAATTTTTTTTTTTTTTACTTTTACATGATTTCTTCTGCTTGATTAAGACTTGTATCCTGATCTTTGTTATTTCTATTAGTGTGTGTGTAATATATATATATACACTTTTTATTTTCTCAGCTGAATGTTAGATTAAATGTACTTTTCCATCTACTTTTTCCATCTCTTTATGAGGATCAATTTAAAAATCTGAATATCAATGCTTCATTTATATGACATTTTCAGGCTAGAAGTCTTTTTTTTCAGTTTGCTTCACAATTTATATTGTAAGAATTAAAAAAAACATACTAAGTAGCACTCAAAGACTACCAAATGCAACATTAACCTGAGGAAGGATGAAGAACATATCAGCCCAAAGCTGGTGATGAGGATAGAAGTTAAAAGCATTATATGATATAATCTTATCTCAGAACTTCTGAAAGCATTTATGGAAGATTTATATTTTTATATCATATTATAGCAGGAATAATAAAATTGATCTTAATGTAAATTTGTTTAAAGTATAAAATCTGAAACAATTTTTCGTCTTTAGAAAAATATTTCAATATCAAAGAGGAACCCTGTGTGCTATCTTCACTGCATTCAACACAGGAAAATGAAAAACATTTATAGGTTTTATTACACTCTCTAATTTTGGAAATATTCTTATAAAAACCCAAAACATGAATTTCAGTTTAATTTAATCTTGGTTAATCTTTCATAAAATATTACACTTTATGCTAAGAATGAATGCAATCATTAACAAAAAGGATTTTTCTTTTATTCTCTTGCAGACAAAATGGTGAGAACAGAATTGCATTCCCTACTGCTTTCTCTATAATTTCTATGCTAATCAAAACAATAATAAAGGAGAAACAAAAATATTTGATGAATAACCAGGTAAGGAAAAGGATTATATAATGTTATCAGCTCAACTAAGAACCCCCCCACCACCACAAATAATATATATTGGTTGTCATTTTGTCATGACTGACATTTAAAGAAAAATATTGTGATGTTTGACACACACACACACACACACACACACACACACATATATATATATATATATGTGTGTGTGTAATTTCTTAAACTGTATATAAGAGCTTGTTCTCTTAATGTAAAAATGTGTTTTAAGTTTACAGGAAAATATGTATTTTTTAGCAAAGTTTGAGTTCATTTTCAATGGCTGAAATTGTCTATATTACTTATTTTACAAATAGAGCAAATTGTTATTCAGGAAAAATATTTTATCATTAGTATGAAATATTCTTGCTTATTTGAGATGGAGAAAAATAATTTAATGTACATTGTATAAGGAAGCATTTTGTTTTGCCAATTTGAACAAGATTTAATTTGAAAATGTCTAATGTATTCTCTTAATCTTTATACTTTTTGTACTTTACTAACATTTTAAAATGAGACTTTATCAAATTCTCTTAATATTATAAAGCATTATTAAGTAAAGATTGTGATAGTGATATTTTTCTCTTTGTTTTTGATGAATGTTGTTTGCTGTATTCATTCAAACGATCAATATTACTAATGTTATTTATATAAAATTGAAGGAGATATTTTCAGACTAAAAATATATTGTTGAATTTACTTATGATTTATTCAAGTCCATAGTTCTTTTGTAAATTCCAATTCTTATCTCTTCAAAATAAATCTTATAAAAGCAAATAGAAGAGTTTTTTTATTTTTTTACATGGTCAAACATCAAAATATTTTTCTTTAAATGTCAGTCATGACAAAATGACAATCAGAATTCTATGTACATTGTTTATAACATGCCTCTCTGATTTAAATGAAATGAAACCTATTAGCAGTAAAAAATTAATCCTAATCAATATTTAAAAAATAATTGCTATAAAATATATTACAAGTATTGTTCTACTTTCTACATACATTATTTTGATGCACGCACATAATTTGTATTTAATGGTGGTGTGTATATTTGATTTAAAGAGATCTGTTCACAGATTTACTTACTAGAAAGAATTTATCATTATTTTTAATCTAAACAGATATCAAAATGATAAAATTATTTCTTGTGTAGAAAATTTCAAATCATTGATATACCAATTAAACTCAAATGAATAGTTTAATTAAATCAACCTATTGTAACTAGCTGCCATGACTGGTGTTTATTCAAATATGCTAGTTCTTGTACAAGTTAATAACATTCTGTGTGTGTGTGTGTGTTCAGTGAAGAAGGTAGCTTCAAATTCATCTTCAGTTGTATTGTTTGCTGCTTTCAGAATCCAAATGGATCGTGTTTCACTGCATTAACAAAAAACTCAAACAAAAGATTTGTGAACATTTGACTGTTGTTGTTTGCTATTATGAAAAACAGCTCCAAAGGATTTGGGAAAGGGAGACTGCTTCTGTGTAGTTTGAAGAACAAGTGAGTATGCCACAAACTGGTATTCTTAAAACAAAGGTACTTCCCACTAGCTGCTGCTGCTAGAAAAATAAGCTGTTTATGCTATGACAGACATGTCATGTGTTTTACTTGCATTTAAAAGGATAACATTTTAATTAATATTTTTAGCAACAAGGATTTTTCTCAATTTTTCAAATTATTTGAAAATTACTATTTGTTTTAAAAGTAATGTTTTGTTAATATTTTTGCAAAAAATCTTTTTGAAAAATCTCTATTGAGAGATCCATTTTCCTTTAAAATTGTTTTTTTTTTTATTCTTGAGACAGTCTTGAATATTAGAACAGTAAATATATCGAAGTGGTTTAGTGTTCAGTTTCTTTTCTTCAAAAATCATTTTACTCCAAGCAAAGCAATAAAGCCACTAAGATGCATATATATATATATATATATATATGAAAAAAAGTAAATCATTAAGGATAGAGCACAATCAAAGAACAGGAATTAAGAAGAATTAATAAAGTTTCTATTAATTTAATATGTATCTCATACCATAAAGGCTATTTTATTGGAGAATTTAGAATAAGTAAATATTTCAGAGACTTAATTTAGATATCTTCAGAAAAGTTTTATT